TCTCCAGTGGACGCGGTGTTGTTGATGGTTTGTCTCTAGTGGACGCGGTGTTGTTGATGGTTTATCTCCAGTGGACGCGGTGTTGTTGATGGTTTTTCTCCAGTGGACGCGGTGTTGTTGATGGTTTTTCTCCAGTGGACGCGGTGTTGTTGATGGTTTATCTCCAGTGGACGCGGTGTTGTTGATGGTTTATCTCCAGTGGACGCGGTGTTGTTGATGGTTTATCTCCAGTGGACGCGGTGTTGTTGATGGTTTATCTCCAGTGGACGCGGTGTTGTTGATGGTTTATCTCCAGTGGACACGGTGTTGTTGATGGTTTATCTCCAGTGGACACGGTGTTGTTGATGGTTTGTCTCCAGTGGACACGGTGTTGTTGATGGTTTGTCTCCAGTGGACACGGTGTTGTTGATGGTTTGTCTCCAGTGGACACGTTGTTGTTGATGGTTTATCTCCAGTGGACACGGTGTTGTTGATGGTTTGTCTCCAGTGGACACGGTGTTGTTGATGGTTTGTCTCCAGTGGACGCGGTGTTGTTGATGGTCCAGTGGACGCGGTGTTGGTGATGGTTATCTCCAGTGGACACGGTGTTGTGATGGTTTTTCTCCAGTGGACGCGGTGTTGTTGATGGTTTTTCTCCAGTGGACGCGGTGTTGTTGATGGTTTATCTCCAGTGGACGCGGTGTTGTTGATGGTTTATCTCCAGTGGACCAGTGTTGTTGATGGTTTGTCTCCAGTGGACGCGTGTTGTTGATGGTTTATCTCCAGTGGACGCGGTGTTGTTGATGGTTTATCTCCAGTGGACACGGTGTTGTTTGTGGTTTATCTCCAGTGGACACGGTGTTGTGATGGTTTGTCTCCAGTGGACACGGTGTTGTTGATGGTTGTCTCCAGTGGACACGGTGTTGTTGATGGTTTGTCTCCAGTGGACACGTTGTTGTTGATGGTTTATCTCCAGTGGACCGGTGTTGTTGATGGTTTTGTCTCCAGTGGACACGGTGTTGTTGATGGTTTCTCCAGTGGACCGGTGTTGTTGATGGTTGTCTCCAGTGGACACGTTGTTGTTGATGGTTTATCTCCAGTGGACGCGGTGTGTGTTGAT